CACATTTATGAAAGATTCAATGTTAAGACATCAATTCTCCCCACATTGATCCATGAATTCAATGCAATACCAATCAAAATTCCATTAGGCTGCTTTTTTTTTGTAGAAATTGAGGATCTGATTAAAAAATTATGTATATGCAAATTCAAAGGACCTAGAACAGTCAAACAATTTTGAAAAAGAACAAAGTTGTAGGATTTTCACTACCTGATTTCAAGATTTACCATAAACTTATGGTCATCAAAACAGTGTGGTGTTTGTCTTAAGGGTAGACATATAGATTAATGGAACAGAATAGGGACACCAAAAATAGACCCACAGATACATGGTCAATTGAATTTTTGACCTAGGTACCGAGGTAATTCAGTGGGAAAAAGTCTCTTCAACAAATGGTGCTGGTATAACTGGACATTCATGAAAAACAAAAACTAAAGAAACCTTCAACTCTTACTTCACACCATACAAAAAAATTAACACAAAATCGATTATCCACATAAATGACAGCAAAAACTATCAAACTTTTAGAAGAAAACCTTTGCAACCTATGGGAAGGCAAAGATATCTTAGGACACAAAAAGCATCAAAGTCATAAAAGATACAATTGATAAACTGGACTTTATCAAAATGAAATTTTCTGCTCCATTAAGAGCATAAAAAGGCAAGCTACAGACTTCAAGGAAATATTTCCAAAACGTATCTCTTAATTACTTAATGCTGCTACAACAGAAATACCACGAATGGGTGGCTTTAAAGAATGGAAAGTTATTCTTAGTTCCAGAAGTTAAAAGTCCAAGTCAGAGTCTTGGCCATGTCCATTCCTTCCTTGTAGGTAGTCCCAGGTGTTCTTTGGTTCTTTGGTGTGTAGATGATCCTCACATGGTGTCTTCCTCGTGTGTGTGTGTGTGTGTGGGTGGGTGTGTATGTTTGTCTAATCTGCTCTTTTTATAACTCTAGTATTAGCTTTAGAACCCACCCTACTCAGATATGATCTAATTAACTAACAGGATTACATCCACAGTTATAGAGGTTAGGATTCCAGCACACATTTTAGGAGAAAAAAATTTAACCCGAAACAATGTATATCTGACAAAGTACTGGCATCTAAAATATATAAAGAATACCTGTTGTTCTTAGGTGCCACTGAGTTGGTTCCAATTCATAGAGACAATATGTACAACAGAACGAAACACTGCCAGTCCTGTACCATCCTCACAATCGTTGCTATGTTTGAACCCATTGTTGCAGTCACTGTGTCAATCCATCTCGTTGAGGATCTTCCTCTTTTTGGCTGACCCTCTACTTCACCAAGCATGATGTCCTTCTCCATGAACTGGTGCCTCCTGATAATATGTCCCAAGTGAGATGAAAAAAATAAACAACTAGTAAATGAGATGAAGTTTCGCCATCCTTGCTTATAGGGAGCAATCTGGTTGTACTTCTCCCAAGACAGATTTGTTCATTCTTTTGGCAGTGCATTGTATATTCAATATTCTTTGCCAACTTCTTAATTCAAATGTGTCAATTCTTCTTTGGTCTTCATTATTCATTGTCCAGCTTTCACATGCATATGAGGTGACTGAAAATACCATGGCTTGGGTCAGGTGCACCTCAGTCATCAAAGTGACACCATCGCTTTTTAACACTTTAAAGAGGTCTTTTGCAGCAGATTTGCCCAATGCAATACATCATTTGATTTCTTGACTGCTGCTTCCATGGGCGTTGATTGTAGATCCAAGGAGATCGAAATCTTTGACAACTTCAGTATTTGCTCCAGTTATCATGATGTTGCTTATTGGTCCAGTTGTAGATTTTTGTTTTCTTTATGTTGAGGTGTAATCCACACTGAAGGCTGTAATATTTGATCTTCATCAGTAAGTGCTTCAAGTCCTCTTCACTTTCAGCAAGCAAAATTGTGTCATCTGCATATTGCAGGTTGTTAATGAGTCTTCCTTCAATCCTGATGCTGTTGTTCTTCTTCGTATAGCCCAACTTCTCAGATTATTTGTTCAGCACACAGATTGCTCATATGCAAGTTCAAGTTGAAGCTGAAGAAAATTAAAACAAATCCATGAGAGCCAAAGTACGACCTTGAGTATATCCCATCTGAATTTAGAGACCATCTCAAGAATAGATTTGACGCACTGAACACTAATGACTGAAGACCAGGTGAGTTGTTGGATGACATCAAGGACATCATACATGAAGAAAGCAAAAGTCATTTTAAAAAACAGGAAAGAAAGACAAGACCAAAATGGATGCCTAAAGAGACTCTGGAACTTGCTCTTGAACATAAAGTAGCTAAAGTGAATGGAAGAACTGACAAAGTAAAAGACCTGAACAGAAGATTTCAAAGGACAGCTCCAGAAAACAAAGTAAAGTATTACAATGAAATGTGCAAAGACCTGGAGTTAGAAAACAAAAAGGGAAGAACACACTTGGCATTTCTACCTGAAAGAACTAAAGAAAAAAGTCAAGCCTCAAGTTGAAATATTGATGGATTCTATGGGCAAAAAATTGAATGATGCAGGAAGTATCAAAAGAAGATGGAAGGAATACACAGAGTCACTGTACCAAAAAGAACTGGTGGATGTTCAACCATTTCAGGAGGTAGCATATGGTCAAGAACCCATGGTACTGAAGGAAGAAGTCCAAGTTGCATTAAGTCCTTGGTGAAAAACAAGCCTCCAGGAATTGACAGAGTACCATGAGATGCTTCAACAGATGGATGCAACTCTGGAAGCGGTTACTCGTCCATGCCAAGAAATTTGGAAAACAACTACCTGGCTAACCGATTAGAAGAGATCCATATTCATGCCATTCCAAAGAAAGGAGATGCAGCAGAATGTGGAAATTATCAAACAATATCATTAACATCATATGCAAGTAAAATTTTGCTGATGATAATTTAAAAATGGTTACAGCAGTACATCAACAGGGAACTGCCAGAAATTCAAGGTGGCTTCAGAAGAGGTGGAACCAGGGATATCATTGCTGATGTCAGATGGATCTTGGCTGAAAGCAGAGAATACCAGAAAGATGTTTACCTGCGTTTTATTGACTATGCAAAGGCATTTGACTTTGTGTATCCTAACAAATCATGGATAACATTGCAAAGAATGGGAATTCCAGAACACTTAATTGTGCTCATGTGGAACCTGTACATAGACCAAGAAGCAGTCGTTCAAACAGAACAAGGGGATACTGTGTGGTTTAAAATGAGGGCTGTATTCTTTCATCGTACTAAAGAATGCCTACAACTCAAAAATAATATGACAAAAGACCCAATAAAAAATAGTGGACAAAATATTGGAAAATAAAGAAAATATGTGAATTGCCACACTGAACACATGAAAAGATGCTGAATGATTCTAGGGAATGAGGTAGCACTACACACATGAACAGCTAAAACTTAAAAAACTGACAATACCAAGTGTTGGCGAGGGTTTGGAGCACTTGGAACTCTCATACATTGCTAGTGGGAATGTAAAGTGGTACAATCACTTTGGAAAATAGTTTCTTATACAGTTAGATATTTATTATTAAACACAGTGATGCATTTATCCAAAAGAAATGAAATGTCTATTTTCATAGCAGTTTTATGCATGAAGGCCAAGAATTAGAAACAACCCAATTGCCACCAACAGGTAAATGAGTAAACAAGTTATGGTATATCCATGTAAGGAACTTACTACTCAGCAATACAAAGGAATATATACTAATACATGCAACAACACTGTGGTTGTTAGGGTTGTGTGTCAACTTGGCTGGGCCATCATTCTGAGTGTTTTGGCAATTATGATGTAGTCTGGCAGTCGTATGATGATGATGTGATCACTTCCATGATGAGATTTGATATAATGTGATCACCTCCATGATGGGATCTGCTGTGAGTAGCCAATCAGTTGAAAGGGAGTTTCCTTTGGTGTGTGGCCTGCGTCGAATACAAGTGTGCATTCTGGCAAGGCTTGTGGGCTTTTGCTCATTTTGGATCCTTCAGTTAGTTCCTGTTTATCTGACCTCCAGTTCTTGGGACTTGAGCTAGCAGCTTACCTGCAGTCTTGCCTGCTGATCTTGGGATTCGTCAGTCTTCGCAGCCTGTGAGCAAGAGCCCTGCTGTCTGACCTGTCAGTCTGGGGTTCGCCAGCCCCTGTGGCTATGTGAATCAGGAGAAACCATCAGCCTGATCCACGAGTTTAGGATGTTCCAGCCTCTACAACCATGTGAACCATTTCCTTTATATAAATCTCTCTATACAGATATTTATACGCTTTACTGGTTTTGCCTCTCTAGAGAACCCAGCCTAAGACAAACATGCATGAATCTCAAAAACTTTATCCTGAGCGAAAGAAGCCAGACACAAAAACATATATACAGTATGATTCCATATATATATTAAATTCTTAAAAAGTCTTGGGCTGGGTGTGCCCCTGCAGAGGGACCTTTTGGGGTGATGTGAATATTCTATCTTGATAATGGTGGTGGCTTCATGGGTGCAGACATTGGTCAAAACTCATCAAAGATATATTTGAAATTGACAAATTTTATTGTATGAAAATTATACCTTGCTAAAGCTGATTTTCAAAAAATCAATTCCTCAGAAATCCCTGGACAACAATAATTTAAAAAATAATAAAAATAGAATAGTAAAAAAAAAAAAATCCCTGGACAATGTCAGGCTCCCCCAACATGCACACACCTCACAGCCCGCATTTTTCTCCATTGCATTTCCCTGGGTTTGTAGTTATGCCTACATTGGAGTGACTGTGTATTTCCTGTCAGTTGATTGCCTCCAGATGGGGAGTACCTTGGATCCATCTCTCTTGCTCACCACCGATTGCTAAGAATCTGGCACCATGCCTGCACACAGTAGGCACTCAATAAATGCTCATTAAACTAATGCAGGAATGAGCAAATGGAGAGGGCCATGGACCGAAGGAAGCAAAGGAAGAGGCAGCAGCTGGGTTGGGCTTGGCCACCCTGGGCTGGGGCAGGCTGCGGGGCTAGAGCTCTGTGGACCGGATGACCTCCGGGCCCCTCCACCTGGGCGCATGGGTAGGGATGGGGAAGTTGAGTCTGTGAAATTCCTCAGAGATTTCCAGGAAGGTCTTGCCTTTGGTTTTGGGAAGCAACAAGCCCGTGTAGACGGCCCCACAGACACAGACGACAAGGAAAGGGACACAGAGGAAGCATGACAAGCCCTCCTGTGGGTTAAAAGAGACCCAGAATGGGTGTGGCCCTAGCCAGCCCCCACCCTGAAGGTCCCGTGCCAGGTCATGATGAGGGACTTGTCCCACATTGCTCAGGTAAGACCCATTCCCGCTCATCTTGGTCTCCCTGGATGGGGCCTCCCAGCTGCGGTCAGAGGCCTAGCGAGGTGGGGGCAGAGGGGGACATTTGCCCCAGGTACGAGTCCAAGGGGGCACCAGATGAGATGTGGGATGACGTTCCAAGGTGCCACAAATGTGAAAGGTGCCTGACTAAGGCAGTCAGACAAGAGGGAGATAGGCGTTTCAGCTGACACATTGCTGCTATCAACGTCTATTCATCTTGAAATTGGGGGGGGGGGCACAATTTAGAGATTGCCCCTAGGCGGCACTTGTTACCCTCGCTATGCCCCTGGCTAGGCTTCTCCTGCTGACACGGATGAACAATAAGGCAGGGCCGGGGAGGGGCAGGCCTACCATGACGAAGGGGAAGCCTAGCCCCGCCAAGAAGAGCATGGTCCACAGGAGCACCCCACAGACCACATAGGCAGTAGGTTGGGCCGTCTGGTCAAACAGCTCGGTGGCCAGGATCCCCGTCACTCCTGCTGGAAGAGGGGTGGGGACAGCGAGTGGGGACCAGGCCCAGCCACCCTCCCAGAGGCTTTTGCACAGGTGGGCTGGAGGGCCCGTGGGTGACAGTACATACACACTCATCACCCACTCACATGCCCACTGTGCCTTCATCGAGGCCCCAGCCCAGAGCCCCTCTGCCCACTAACCAGGGCTGATACCAAAGCTGAGGATGAAGGCGAAGATGGAGGAGATGGCCAAGTAAGGCATCCAGGGGAATGAGCTCTGCAGTAGAGGGGGTGGTGAGGTGGACAGCAGGCCACTTGCCACATCCCTGTGCCCCCTAGCTACCTGTAGGCACAGGGTCGCTGTGACGAACGCTCCCCCAGCAGGTTATCACGCAGTAGCCCCACATCAGCAGCACCCGCCAGCCCACTCTCTCGATCACCACACACTGAAAGAGAAGGAGTCCACTTGGTCACTGACTCATGCACTAGCCATAGTCCCCTTGGTTTCAGGGTGGGCAGGGGGAGGGTCCTGTGGGAAAGCTGGGAGAGGGTAGGGGTAGTTTATTGCTTCAGGAGATTGAGACATTGTTAATTTCTTAGAGGACCTTGGTCCATCACTGAAGATATCCATTTCCTCATCTCAACACAGCAGTGTGGGAGCCCAGGAAACAGCAGGTGCTCAATAAATGCTCGCTAACTCACCAAATTTTAACAGAGCGCCTTGGAGTGGAAAATGATTTAATGCGGAGGACTGAAGTTCTAGGAGTGTCAATGAGGCCCTGAGAATCCCTGTGGGGGCAAGGGCGCCCCACAGGGCAGGGCCGGTGGAGGGTCAGCCCTGAGCCAGCCGGAGCCACTGACCACACCCGGCCAGACTCACAGACTCACACTGACAACCGCCGTGAGCAGCTTGCAGCTCCCTGTCCCAGTGATGGCGTATTGGACCTTCACCTCGGGAATGCTGGCCTCCCAGAACACCAAGCAGGCGCAGGCATACACCTGGGGAGGGCAGGACAGGGCCTGCTCAAGAGTTTGGGGCCTCTGGCTCCCTTCAGCCTCCCATGGCTCCTGGCTGCCCACAGAGCAAGGTTCCTGGATCCAGGAGGGCCTCACTAAGTCGTTCTCGCAGAGCTCCACGGCACTGCCCAGCTCCACGAGGCTCGCCCCCTGCCTTTGCAGGGCCCAGTCACAGATCAGCTCCCATCGGCACTGCACCCACCAGCCCTGGTCATGTCTCTGCTGCCCCACGGCCGCTGCAGCGCTGAGGACAGAGGCGGTGGGTGCTGAGTCCCCCTTCCTCTAGCCCCTCTTTAGACTCTCACAGCGAGCCCCCCCAACTCCGTTCTCTCCCAGGGCACCCCAGTCAGATAGGGGTTATCTTCAAGGCCTGTCATTTCACAGGGCTGTTGGGAGGCTCAACAAGAGAAGGCCTTAAAACTAGGGGTTCTGTGGACACATCAGATAGAACAAAATGATCATGGTACATTACTGTCCCCAATTTTCCACCCCTGCCTGTATTCACCCCTTTGTTATGTGAGTTTGTAGTTCTTCCTCCCTCTTCCCCCCAAAAATAAAGTAAAATAAAACAACAGTTGCTGTCAAGTTGATTTCAGCTCATGGTGACCCTCAGGGCCCTGACTCATAGAGACCTCACTGCATCAGAGTAAAGTTGTGCTCCATAGGGTTTTCAATGGCTGATTTTTTGGAAGTAGATTGTAGGCCTTTATTCCAACACACCTCTGGGTGGACTCAAACCTTCCCGTTAACAGGGGGTACTTAACCCTTTGTGCCTCCCAGAGACTCCCCACCCCTTGACTCTGGATTCAGCCGTGTGACTTGCTTTGGCCAGTAGAATGAGGCTGAAGTGAGGACATGCCGTTTTAGAACCTAAGTCTTAAAAGGCCCTGCATGCTTCTACTTGCCCTCCTACCATCATAAGAACATGCCGGGATAGCCCAGTGGTCCCTGGAGGAGCAGTTCCCTGAGCTGGGACCATCCTAGATCAGTCAGTGCTCAGCTGACCTACTGTTGCATGAACTGCATGTGAGCCCCTCCAGGATCAGCTGTCCTCCAGACCCAGCCTAGATTCGCCAACCCCAAAGGATTCTCAGAAGTTTGAGCTAAATAGTTGCTTCTTTAGTTTGCCACTGAGATGCTGTGGTTGTCTGTTATGCAGCAATAGAAGGGAACTATGAATTGGTACCAGGAGTAGAAAAAAAACCTATGATATCTGGCATTGGTTCTGAGACCAGGCAGAAGAGAGAAACTGCTCAGGAGTCTAGAAAAATGAAACTCCATGTTATATAGTGCAGTTACTTGAAAGAAAGAAAATAGACCTAATGAACTTTTGGACTTGGTGACAGAGATCTCCAAATGTTGAAAGCGTGAATTGCTTGCTTTTATCTGAGTATTATAAACTCACTATAAGAAATAAATAAGCTACTAAATAAGTAAATAAGCTAAAAAAAAAAAAAAAAAAACTGGCAAGAAGAATTGGGGAAGAAAAATTCAGAGGGAACAAAATTTAATTTATTTCAGAACTTGCTACGTTAAAAAAAAAAAAAAAAGTTTCTCATCTTCATCCCCTCCAGCTAGCAAAAGAGTCCCAACATAAGTTACAGCCTGAGAGCAAAGATCAAGTCTAGGGCACTACCAGCAAGGCATGGATTCAGGGTGATGGTCAAATCCAGGGCGTGGCCTACAGCAGTACCTTGTAGGCCTTTATAGCTGGAGAAAAGGGCATTTAGGAAGCTTAAGAGTGTTGGTCCACAGCAGCCTGACATGTCCAAAATATCAGTAATTAGGTCTAGAGAGAGGAGCATGTCTCAAAAAGAATTGTGTATGTGCCTTTTTGGCACATAAAATGGACTGGAATCAAATACACAGAAAACTCACAAAATTTTTTAAAAAGATATATTGGCAAAAGTTCTGCCAGACTGAGACTACCTGAAATGTGAAAAGACTTCTGTGGCCTAACCTCTTGTAGGCAAGAAGCAGGCTGAGAAATTTGCCCAATCACCAAAAGCAGTACATTTTCCAGTGCCCTCTTCAGAAGGTGCCAAGGAAGATGATGGAAGAGGAAGGGCATGTCTGAATCAAGAACCATAGAGAGCCATGGCCTGGGGAGTTCCTCCTGGGGCAGAACCAGGGCTTGATCAAGGAACATTCCTCAACTGCATGATAGGGGCCCTGGCAACATATTCCCAGCAGACACTTGAGAATAGCCATGGAACACTGATGTCTCTGTGCCTCCCCTTCCTCCTCTTTCTGAAATGAGAGTGTTAATTTAGGTTACCCTGTTTCTCTTTCACCATTGTATGTTGAGTGTAGGAGGAGCAGAAGACTTGTCTTTTTAGTTCCTAGGTCTCTGAATCAAAAAAAGCCACATATGGACTTGACATGATCTTAAGATCCTGGACTTGAAGCCTGATACCAGGGTTGGATGAGACTTTGGAATTGTCCTGGGATGGGACTGAGCATATTCTGCACAAGGGAGGGAGAAATGTGGCCAGGAGGGCAAGTTAAGAAGTTACAGTAATGGGCGCTGACCTTCACTGCTCCCTGTATCCATGTCCATTGCCATGTAACTTTGCTGCCCCTTCCCACTGAAGAGGCAGAGGATATGCCATGGATGGATTTTCCCATCCCTTGATGTGGGGTTCAGTGACACGACTCTCTTTGGCCAATAGAATCTCAGTGGGCATGAGAGAACCAAAGTTCTTGGGCAGTTGGACTTGCTCTCTGTGCCTCTGCCATCACCATAATAAGAACATTTCTGGACTAGACTTCTGGTACCACAAGTGAGAGGAGAGACATGTGCAGGAGAGATGAACTGCTCCAGCTCAGCCCAGCCTAGATTGGCCGCAACCCTGCCAGCTCCCTCAGATGCCAGGAGCCAGCCCAGTGAGTCAGCAGAGCTGTGCAGCCAGCCCAGAGGAGTAAATGAGTAAAAGATCCAAAAATTATTGTTTCAAGCCTGATCCTGCTTTTTCATAACTGTCCAACGTCCTCCTTCATAATTCCCCCAAGCATTCTTACACTGGCCAAAATGAACTACTTGTGAGTTCACCAACACATTGTCCTCTCATTCTTGGGTATCTTTTTTTTTCAACTCCCCATTCCTCCCTTCCCCGAGCCCCTAAAAAGTGATTACTAATCTACTTTGATCTAGGTGCATTTGCCTATTCTGGATATTTCATATAAGTGGGAATCATACAATATTTGTCCTTTTGTGATTGACTAATTTCACTCAGCAGAATATTTTCAAGTTTCCTCCACGTCGTACCATGTATGAAAACTTCATTTCTCTTTATGGCTGAATAATATTCCCTTGTATGTATGTACCACATTTTGTTTATCTGTTCATCAGTTGATGGACATTTGGGCTGATTCCACCTTTTGGCTACTGTGAATAGTGCTACAGTGAACACCGGTATACACATATCTGTTTGAATCCCTGCCTTCAAGTGTTTTGGGTACATACCTAGAAGTGGAGTTGCTAGATCATATGGTAATTCTAACTTTTTTAGGAACAGCCAAACTTTTCCATAGTGGCTGCATCGTTTTACATTTCTACCAACAATGGATGAGTGTTTTAATTCCTCCACATCTTCACCAACTCTTATTTTCCATTTTTCTGATAAGAGCCATCCTAGTAGGTGTGACATGGTATCTAGTTGTGGTTTTTTTGATTTACATTTCCCTAATGACTAATGAGGAGCCCTGGTGGCACAGTGGTTAAGAGCTACGGCTGTTAACCAAAAGGTTGGCAGTTTGAATCCACCAGCTGCTCCTTGGTAACCCTATGGGGCAGTTCTACTCTGTCCTATAGGGCCGCTACGAGTCGGAATCGACTCAACAACAACGGGTTTGGTTTGGTTTTTAGTAATGACTACTGATGTTGGGAAACCCTGGTAGCATAGTGGTTAAGAGCTATGGCCGCTAACCAAAAGGCCGGTGGTTCAAGTCCATCAGGTACTCCTTGGAAACTCTATGGGGCAGTTCTACTCTGTTCTATAGGGTTGCTACGAATCAGAATCAACTCGACGGCAATGGCAGTGGGGGTTAATGATGTTGAGTATCTTTTCACATGCTTATTTGTCATTTGCATATCTTCTTTGGAGAAATGTCTAGTCAGGTCTTTTGCCCATTTTTTGATTAAATTGTCTTTTTGTGGTTGAGTTGTAGAAGTTCTTTATATATTCTGGATATTAAACCCTTATCAGATATACGGTTTCCAGATATTTTCTCCCATTCTGTAAGTTGTCGTTTCACTTTGTTGATGATATCTCCTGATGTACAAAATTTTTTAATTTTGATGAAGTCCAGTGCATCTATTTTGTCTTCTGTAGCTTGTGCTTTTGGTGTCATACCTAAGAATCCATTGCCAAAGACAAGGTCCTAAATATCTACCCCTATGTTTTTTTCTCGGAGTTTTTTTTTAGTTATTATATTCAGGTCATTGATCCATTTTAAGTTAATTTTTTTATACGGTTGTGAGGTATGGGTCCAACTTAATTCTTTTACACATAGGTATTTAGTTGTCCCAGCACCATTTATTAAAGAGACTGTTCTTTACCCCCATTGAATAGATTTGGCACCCTTATTGAAAATCAATTGGCCATAGGCATATGGGTTTATCTCTAGACTCTCAATTCTGTTCCATTGTATATATGTCTACCCTTCTAATAGTAGCACACTGTTTTGATTACTAAACTTTGTAATATGTTTTGAAACCAGGAAGTGTGAGTCCTCCTACTTTATTCTCTTTTATTCCCCCCAAGATTGTTTTGGCTATTTGGGTTCTGTCATGGATTAAATTATGTCCCCCAAAAATATCTTGTCAACTTGGCTAGGTCATGATTCCCAGTATTGTATGATTGTGTACCATTTTGTAATCTGATGTGATTTCCTTATGTGTCATAAACTCTATCACTATAATAAGATGTATTAGCCAGCAGTTATACTGATGAGGTCTACAAGACTAGATGGTGTCTTAAGCCAATCTCTTTTGAGATATAAAACAGAGAAGTGAGCAGAGACACATGGGAACATCATACCACCAGGAAAGCAGTGCCAGGAGCAGAGCGTGTCCTTTGAACCTGAGGTTCCTGCACTGAGATGCTCCCAGAACAAAGGAAGACTGATGACAAGGACCTTCCTCCAGAGCCGACAGAGAAAGCCTTCCCCTGGAGCTGACACCCTGAATTTGGACTTGTAACCTATTAGACTGTGAGAGAATAAACTTCTCTTTGTTAAAGCCATTCACTTGTGGTTGGTATTTCTGTTATAGTAGCAGTACATGACTAAGACAGGTTCCCTTGCAACTCCATATAAATCTTAGGGTCAAACCACTGAGATTTTGTGACTGTTCTTGGGCATCGTTATTGTAGCCAGAGTTAACTGATAAGATGATCATCACCCATTTGGCACTGGGCACATGTCTTGCACTGGTATTTCATCTTGCATGTGTGTGGGGAGCTTTTTCTCCATGCCACCCTGAGGTTCCTGGATGGGGCAGGGATGGGGTCTGATCCATCCTGCTGCTCTGGCACTTAGGACAGCCAGTTGGTAAGGAGTTTGGGAGGGAAGGATGGGTGGATAATGAAATTGATAAGGAGAGGGCATAAAGAAAGGGATAGCTTTTCCCTGATAGATTAAACTCAAGAAATGGGAGCCCATACATTTTGGTCAGATGGCCCCTTGGTCAAGGGTAGTCTGGAGGCCCGAGGACAGGGACTCAGCTGCCAGGCAGGCCTCGATATCTCTGCAGTCAGTGAGGAGGTAGCATGGGCTCTCAGGAAGCAGGGGCAGGGAAGCAAGCTGGAGCACCCCAGGCACCAGGCAGCTGGACAGCAGCAGGGGCCAGGTGTGTGGGCCACCCAGGAGCTCCCTAGGGGAGGCAGAGGAGAGGTGGGGCCAGGCATCTCCTTCCCAGAGCCCTGCTCACCTGCTCACCTGCCCACCTGCCTGCAGAGGGTCTGCATTGCCCTGTGCCTCTTCCTAACCAACTCTGGGTCTGGATACCAAGATGCCTATTACTCGTAGGGACCAAGGAGGCAGGGCCATTTCTCCTCCTTTCCCCATGGTCCAGGCTCTGTCACTCCTCTTTCTGCTATGCTCCCCTGTATAAGTCCAAATCCTCCCCCTCTCCTCTGTCAAGACCTTGTATAGTCCCTGATCTGGAGAGGACAGGAAAGGTGAGGTCCCCTGATTATTGGTGGGCAGGGGAGAAATTGAAAGGAAGGACTTGTACTGGCACTCCTAAATCCACTAAATGCTCATGGTGGGGGTGGTTACCTGAGTCCGACCACCTGTCCCATCACGATTCCCAGAGCAGTGAAGATGGCTGAAGTCATGGCCACGGCTCCTCGGAGCTCTTTGGGGGCACTCTCCCCCAAGTACATGGGCTGGATGTTCATGCTCACACCTGGACACACGAGCACAGCAGAGATGGGTCAGTCACCTACTCAGCTCCAAGACAACGGCCTATCTCCTCTACCTACTGCTCAGCCCTTGTCTACTACATCCTGAGTCCGAAGGCCAAGAGGACTGTAATTCCACCCTCCACCCCAGAACTTCTGGGAGAGAAATTTTTCTCAGATCAGCTCCTGTCTTGTTCCCTCACCACACTGTGTTCCCACTGTGTTCAGTCCCACTATGTTCATGTACTCTATCTAACGTCCTGTCACTGGACAAGTGCGACAGGCTCTGGAGGAGCTGAGCAAGGAGGCAAGAGAAGAGTGGGATTGCATCCTGAGCGCCCACCACTGCACTGGCTCTCACATCAGGCTCTCAGGACTCCACTCCAGCATAGGGTCTCTCCTCATCACTCTTCCCCATTACCCCAGGGAAGCCCCTAGCACATGTGCAGCCAGTGGGAAAAGAGAAAAAACTGGACAGTGTCCCCACTGCCCACCCCAGAGGATGACAAATGAAGGCCAAGGAATCAGGGTACCATACACCTGGGCATACTGCAGGGAATGCTGCTCCATCCTCCTTCCTGACCTGGGACCGGGCAACATTGCCATTTGACTGGCACTCTACAAGCATTGGGTGGAAAGAGCTGGGAGGAAGGCGGTGCACCGATTGCCAAGAAGTCTGAGGTGCTCCTGCTCTTCCTACAAACGTTTAGGTACTCGGGTACAAAGACAAAGTCTGCTCTCATTTCTCTCCCCCTGAGTGTGGGCTGTTCTTAATGGCTCTCTTTTAACAAATAGAATGTGGCAAATCTGATGGTGTATGACTTCTGAGCTTAGGACGTAGAAAGCACAGGGGGTCCTCCTTGTTCTCTCTCTTGGATCACTCACTCTAGGAGATGCCAGCTGCCATGTGAGGATACTCAAGCAGACCTCTGGAGAGACTCACCAGGTGAGGAATGGAGGCCTCCTGCCAAAAGTCATGTAAGTGCGCCATCTTGGGAGTAGATACTATGCTGGAGTGGAGTCCTGAGAGCCTGATGTGAGAGCCTAACCTTAGGCAAGCCCTCAGGTGACTACAGCCCTGGCTGTTAGCTTCATCGCAACCTCACGAGAGACCCTAAGCTGGAACCACCCAGCTAAGACTCTAGTGTGAGATAGTGGATGTTCATGATTTTAAACCACTAAACTTGGGGGTAAGTTGTTTCACAGGAATAGACAACTAATACAGACATTAACAACTGGCTGTATAAACAGTAGGGAGTCAAGAGATGATTTGTTGATTGGAGCCCCTAAAAGCGCATGTGGATGCACTGAAAACTCTGCTCCCCCATGTGATAAGCTACAGAAACTGAGAGTCCTTAACAGGCTATTCTTCCTCTGTAGGAAAGATCAGAGAACTCATCCTATATGTCTTTATACCTTGGTTACCAGGAAGCCCGTGGCTTAGTGCTGCTCAAACACAGGACCTCTGTTGGTATAGGTTTGGGAATATTTGTTCCTCTATTCCTGCACAATGTTTTCATTTTTCTGTATCTATTTTAAGTGCCTAATAATATTATAAGCATTTAAAAATAAACCATATTTAATCATTTTGCAAACAAAGATGGATATGAAGGAGAAATGAATCAGTGGATAAAGGGAATCAAGGGGCAGGATGAGACCCCCTGTATACGTGCACTGACTCCCATGGGCAGTCTTCCCAGCATGATTATCTCAAAGGAGCCTGCTTTGTGGCTGAAGCCAAACAGGATTGCTGCAGCCACCACAAAGATGTTATTCACCAGGATGGACTTCTTCCTTGGGGAAGTGGAACATAGGGCAAGACAGGCTCTGGTTCAGTCCTGGCGAACCCTTCTCTGCAACTCCAACTAGCACCAATCAGACCTGCGGGGGAGGTGAGAACTGTTTCAAGGATTCTAAGCTACGTGAAGGAGCCCTGATGGCACAGTGGTTAAAGCGCTCAGCTGCTAACTGAAAAGTTGGTGGTTTGAACCCACCAGTCACTCCGCGGGAGAAAGATGTGGCAGTCTGTTTCCATAAAGGTTACGTAAATGGAAAAACAAACCATGCTCATGGCTAGGGAGACTAAGCATTGTGAAAATGTCACTTCTATCCAAAGCAATCTACAGATACAATGCAATCCTGATCCAAATTCCACTAGCATTTTTTTAATGAGAGAAACAAATCACCAATTGTATATGGAAAGGGAAGAGGCCCCAGATAAGTAAAGCATTACTGAAGAAGAACAAAGTGGGAGGCCTCACACTATCTGATTTTAGAACCTATTATACAGCCACAGTAGTCAAAACTGCCTGGTACTGGTACAACAGACACATAGATCAATGGAACAGAATTGAGAACTCAGACGTAAATCCATCCATTTACAAGCAGCTGATATTTGACAAGGGCCCAAAGTCCATTAAACGGGGAAAAGACAATCTCTTTAACAAATGGTGCTGGCATAACTGGATATCCATCTGTAAAAAATGAAACAGGACCCATACTTCACACCATACACAAAAACTAACTCAAAATGGATCAAAGACCTAAATATAAAATATAAAATGATAAAGATCATGGAAGAAAAAATAGGGCAACGCTAGGAGCCCTAATACATGGCATAAACAGAATACAGAACATAACTAACAATGCACAAACATCAGAAGAGAAAACTGGATAACTGAGAGCTCCTAAAAATCAAACACTTATGCTCATCAAAAGACTTCAGCAAAAGAGTAAAAAAGACAACCTACAGACTGGTAAAAAATTTTTGGCTATGACATATCTGATCAGGGTCTAATCTCTAAAATCTACAAGATACTGCAAAACTTCAACAACAGAAGGACAAATAACCCAATTAAAAAATGGGCAAAGGATATGAATAGGCACTTCACCAAAGAAGACATTCAGGCGGCTAACAAATACATGAGGAAATGCTCACCATCATTAGCTATTAGAGAAATGCAAATCAAAACTACAATGAGATACCAGCTCACCCTAACAAGGCTAGCATTAATCCAAAAAACACAAAATAATAAATGTTGGAGAGGTTGTGGAGAGACTGGAACACTTATACACTGCTGGTGGGAATGTAAAATGGTATAACCACTTTGGAAATTGATTTGGCACTTCCTTAAAAAGCTAAAAATAGAAGTACCATATGATCCAGCAATCCCACTCCTTGTAATATAACCTAGAGAAATGAGAGCCGTCACATGAATAGATATATGCACACCCATGTTCATTGCAGCACTGTTCACAATAACAAAAAGATGGAAACAACCTAGGTGCCCATCAATGGATGAATGGATAAACAAATTATGGCATATTCACACACTAGAATACTATGTAACGATAAAACAATGATGAATCCGTGAAACATAACATGGATGAATCTGGAAGGCATTATGCTGAGTGAAATTAGTCAGCTGCAAAAGGACAAATATTGTATGAGACCACTATTACAAGAATTCAAGAAAAGGTTTAAACACAGAAGAAAACATTCTTTGATGGTTACAAGGGTGAGGAGGGAGAGGAGGACACTAGATAGTAGACGAGTGTGAACTTCGGTGAAGGGAAAGCCAACACACAATATAGCAGAAGTCAGCACAACTGAACCAAAGCAAAAGCATGTAAGTTTCCTAGACACATCCACTTTGAGGGACCAAGTAGCTGGGGCTGAGGCCTGGGGACCATAGTCTCAGGGAACATCTAGGTCAATTGGTATAAGAAAGTTTATAAAGAAGATGTTCTACATCCCACTTTGGCAAGTAGCATCTGGGGTCTTAAAAGCCTGCGAGCAGCCATCTAAGGTACATCTATTAGTCTCATCCCAACTGGAGCAAAGGAGAATGAAGAAAACCAAAGATACAAGCAAAATACTAGCGAAAAGGACTAAAGGACTACATGAACCAGAGACTCCGCCAGCCTGAGACCAGAAGAACTAGATGGTGCCCGGCTACCACCAATGACCACCCTGGCAGGAATCACAATGGAGAATCGTAGACAGAGCAGGAGAAAAATATAGAACAGAATCCAAATTCACGTAAAAAGACCAGACTTACTGGTCTGACAGAGACTGGAGGAACCACCAAAACTATGCCCCCGGGTGCTCTGCTAACCCAGAACTGAAAACATTCCTGAAGCCCACTTTTCAGACAAAGATTAGACAGGCCTATAAAACAAAAAATAACACACATGAGGAATATGCTTCTTAGTTCAGTCAACTATACGATACCAAACGGGCAGCTCCTGTGCAAAAGCAGGACGAGAAGGCAGGAAGGCACAGGAACTGGACGATTGGACACAGGGAACTCAGGACGGAAAGAGGGGGCATGCTGTCACATTGTGGGGATTGCAACCAATGAAACAAAACAATATATGTATAAATTTTTGAATCAGAAATTAACTTGAGCCTCAACTTTTACCTAAAGTATAATTTAAAAACAAAAGAAGAAGAAGAAGAAAAGATTACAGCCTTGGAAACCCTATCGGGCAGTTCAACTCTGTCCTATAGGGTTGCTATGAGTCAGAGTCGACTCATCAGCAACTGGCTTGGTTTATTTAGCCTACCACAGTTGGGAGAGATGTCTGGATTGGGAGGAGGCCAGGCCCTCGTCTGGGAATATATGCTGAATTCGAATTTTCAATTCCTTCCCTTTATGTTTCTGTCAGTACCATCATCCAGGGACACACTGGACCAGGTGTCATGGGATGCTCCCTCTTCTTTGCTGGAAGAGCCCCAAATTTATTTGGGAATGGCTACCCCACATAGTTCAGGTGTGGATACCCACTAGCCTAACTCAGACATAGTATCCCATTCTCCATGCTAGTAATTCAGTTCTTAGCAGTAAGACATGGGCCTCTTCTGAAGGTTCTTTTCTTTCTGCTAGAGTTTAGGCCAGGAAGAAATCCCCCTTCTGCTAGATGTTGCATCTGAGGGAGGCACTTGGAACTGCTGATGCTTCCCAACTACAAACCTAAGGACAAAGCTGACATACAGTGGAGACTGCAGCTAAGGGGCTCTCAAGACCAGCTCTCGAGTACTGATGGAGCTCTGAAGTCACCCACCCACAGACTTCATGTTGTGTGAGATGAAAGATCTCCTATTGTAAACCAATGTCACTGAACAATCTTCGTAGAAATTGTTGCATGGGAAACTAAACTGCTCTGTAAAACTTCACCAAAAACACAATAAAATATCCAGGAAGGTAGGCTTATATTGGTCCAACTTGGGTCACATGCCTACACATTAAAAAAAAATCTCCTATTGTAAAACAGAAAAAAACTCCTGTTGTTTTAGCCAGTTGAGTCCTGGCTTTCTGTTATTTGCAATTGGAAATATCCTAACAGATACACCTATTAATTACACAAACATGATACTCATGCAATTTTGAATCCAACCAAGGAAGTTACATCAGTGAAAGAAGGGCTGATGCTCATGGAATGCATTATTGTGTTGTGAATCCCATCATTCAGAAGCAGATGGCCTTAGAGTGTAATAACCTACTGAAGACCCTACACAAGTGAACCACCAAGCCCACTCAACAATAAAGATCTGGGTCATCCCAATGCACAAAGAGCTTCTGCCAGTTGAAGTGCTGACCTGAGACAAGAGGGAAACTGGAGGATGGAGGTCACAAATACAAGCAAAAGCTTTGTGACCGGTTGCAAAAACAAGGAGTAGAACCTCTACCTGTATTTCTAGACTTTCTGGAAATAAATTCACTGCTTTCCTTTTCCTTAATTTTTTCTTACTATTTATCCTTTTTTTCTCATCCTACAAAAAAAACAAAAAACCAAACCCATTGCTGTCGAGTCAATTCCAACTCACAGTAACCCTATAGTACAGGGTAGAACTGCTCCATAGGGTTTCCAGGGCTGTAATCTCTACAAGGAGCCCCAGTGATGTAGTGGTTAAGAGTTTGGCTTCTAACCAAAAGGTCAGCAGTTCAAATCCACCAGTCGCTCCTTGGAAACCCTATAGGGAAGTTCTACTCTGTCCTATAGGGTAGCTATAAGTTGGAATTGACTCAATGGCAACAGGTTTGGGGTTTTCTTTTTGGTTTAATCTTTACAGAAGCAGATTGCCACATCTTTCTTCTACAGAGCAGCTGATGGGTTTGAACCGCCAACTTTTTGGTTAGCAGCAGAGCACTTTAACCACTGTGCCACCAGGGTTCCTTTTCTCCTCCTATAGAGTAGTTAAATTTACCATTGTGTGTAGATTGCCCAATATCAAGACAGGTTAACTGCAGAGCTGCCTGAAGAATGGTCATCATCTGGAAATCCTGTGCTGAGAAAGAATACCTCCCTTATATTGCCCCTGGTGGCTATGGCAAGACAATGCTCTGAGTGGTCTCACTCAGGGAGGGGTGATACATAAACTGCTGTATATGGGATGATTGGATAATGTTAGCTGGGGGCACTTATGTAACTGAATATATGGGAGAAAGGAGTTGACGTATGCTGAGCAAAGGGGTGGACTGTGGAAACCACTTGTCTTTTCTACCCAGCATTGCTTCACTCCCATTCCTTCACAGGTATAGGCATGATGCAAGTTGTACCAATGCAAGCCTGCTTTCCTGGATTCTGAATCTTGAATGTAAATAGTTGAAGACAGAATGTGGTTGGAACTGAGTACACTGAAGACATTTCCTCCCCAGAAGGAAATTCCAAAAGTTCTGGCTATTGAGATCTTCAGCACTGCCTTGATTCCTGACCTTCTCAAGGCATGGGTTTTAAACACTTCCTTTCATTCTGAGCCTCCCCAATATCCTTTCAGTTATTACAATTTTTTGTTAAATTAGTCAGAGGTCATTTCTGTTGTTTGCAATCCAAGAACTGCATCAGTTAGATACAAGGGGAAAATATGAGGTCTGGGGAAAAAAATACATGTTTAAGGTCAAATAAAGAGTCCTGGGTAGTGCAAACAATTAAGCACTCGACTACTGAACAAAAGATTCATGGCTTGAATCCACGCAGGGGCACTGTCATGGATTGAATTGTGTCTCCCCAAAATATGTATCAATTTGGCTAGGCCATGATTCCCAGTATTGTGTGGTTGTCCACCATTTTGTGATCTGATGTGATTATGCTATGTGTTGTAAATCCTAACCTCTATGATGTTAATGAGGCGGGATTAGAGGCAGTTATGTTAGTGAGGCAGGACACAATATACAGGATTAGGTTGTATCTTGAGTCAATCTCTTTTGAGATATAAAAGAGAGAAGCGAGCAAAGAGGAGAGGGACCTCATGCCACCAAGAAAGAAATGCCACCAAGAAAGAAAGAGCACGTCCTTTGGACCTGGGGTCCCTGTGCTGAGAAGCTCCTAGACCAGGGGAAGATTGATGACAAGGACCTTCCCCCAGAACCAACAGAGACAGAAAGCATTCCCTGGGAGCTGATGCCCTGAATTTGGACTTCTAGCCTTCTAAACTGTGAGAGAATAAATTTCTGTTTGTTAAAGCCATCCACTTATGGTATTTTTGTTATGGCAGCACTAGATAACGAAGACAGGCACCTTGGAAGAAAGCCTGATTATCTACTTCTGAAAGATCGCAGCCACTGAAAACCCTATGGAGCAGCTCTACCCTGCACACGTGGGGTCTCCATGAGTTGGAGCTGGTTTAACAGCAACAGGTTTGTTTGTTTGTTAAAGTCAAACAGCACTTGTTGGCAGATGTGGAACTAGAAACCAGAAGTCCTCCCTCGTCACACAGGGTGATTTCCTCTACTAATTCACTTGGAAATGTGAGTCTGTTATGGAGACACTCTCGGCAGAGTAAGAGTCGGGTAGGAAGTGGATCTGGGCCTGGAGCCTGCAGGGCATCTTCCTTCTCCCATTCCTCAGCCTGCAGACTGGGATGCCCCCAGTTAAGGGTGTGCAGGGGTTCCACAGGAAGCACTTCCCTCCCCAGCACGATGGCCAGGGGACCTGCAGGCAGTGCTCTGAAGAGGCCCCCCAGGGGGTACAGGAGACACGATGAGCAACCATAATAGCAGAACCAGCTGATCAGGCAGTGGCTTACCTGTCCGTGCCCGCCAGGTTGCACTGGTGAACTCCTGAATGTGCTGTGGCCATAGATGCCAGTCAGCCTCTTGGAAAAGGGACTCCACAGACAGGCCTTCCCCCCACAGGCCTGAGGGTCTCTGCAGAGCAGGCACCGAGGCTCCTGAGCAGTCCTACCCATCCTGAGCAGTAACAAACTTGACCGAGAGCCCACTGTGTGCAGGCACTGGGCTGGCTTCTTCCACACACAATGCCTCCCTTAGCTTAGTGCTGGGCATTCTGTGTTGGCCCTCCAGGTCCTCCATGGCCCCTTCCCACCCTGCTTATGCACTAGAAGCTGACCTTACAGGTAACATTGTGTTCCCCTGCTGACTGGCTTTGTTGGACTTGGCCAATGGCAAGCCCCAGCAGGACATTCAAGGATACAGGAGATGGAGGAGGGGTATTTGTTCTCCTGGCTCCCTCCCTGTGAAGTCACCTTGGCCTGGCTGTGACTCTTGACCAAAGATCACCGCTCCTTCTAAGGGGGCCTACTCCACATGGTTATTTCCTTCTGGATTCCATAATTGCTTCTTCCACTTGTCTCTTTGGGGGCAGGGGTGGTAACAACTCCAATGTGACTAAATCCACTTTACTGCATTCTCTCCTGCCTTATGTGTTCTCAGAGGCCCTGGTTGGTGCAAACAGTGAATGCAGTCAGCTGCTAACCAAATGTTGGTGGTTGAGTCCACCCAGAGGCACCTCATAAGAAAGTCCTGGTGATCTACTTACAAAAAAATCAGACAGTTCTACTCTAACGTATGGGGTCACCATGAGTTGAGATCAACTTGACGGCAACTGGTTTGGTGTTCTCTATGCCCCATTCAATGCTTTGTAAATCATTCTTTGGTATCTAAACCTGCTTGACTTCTCCTGAGTGTGTCATCTGTTTCCTTGGGACCCTGACTGGGACAAGCCCTCACAAGTGCTCTGATGGATACACATTTGTGGTGAAATGAGTTCCTTTATGTGGCCTTTTGCCTTGGTTCTCTGGAAAAACAGCTTGGGAAATTTTTTTCCTTAAATTCTAAGGAGTTACCTTTGCCCTAGTTCTTTGGAGAAACTACTTGGGGGACCTCCCAGAGTGCTTTCTACCCTAGATGGTTTGTTACTTTTGCCCAGGGGAGGAGGAGGTGTCTGCTGGTAGAAAATGTTACTTTTGCCTAAGACCTGACTTGATTGATATCTAATAGACTTGTGACTCACCCAAAATGATTGGCAGGGCCACAATCTTGCGAGGGATTGCTCAACTAACTACTCAAACGTTGTTGTTGTTGTTGTTGTTGTGTGCCACGGAGTCGATTCTGACTCATACGGACCCTGTATAACAGAGTAGAACTGCCCCATAGGGTTTTCTAAGCTGTAATCTTTACAAGAGCAGATCACCAGGTCTTTTCCCTGGCAGAGCTGCTGGTAGATTCAAACTGCCAGCCTTTGGTTAGCAGCCAAGTGCTTAACCATTATGCCAATCCTACCCAATAGGATTGAATGACTTGTGGTCCATGAAGGGATGGGTCGGTTTGTGGTCCTGCTGGAAGGGCTGTGCCTTGAAATTGGCAAGGAGTTTGCTTATATAAGCAGCCAGCCCTACAGAGGTTTTTAGAGAAAAGGCAAGGAGGGAACCTCAAGACCAAGAAGAGCCTACAGTAGAGCAGTTTTTAACCAGGGCTCCTGCTAGAAGAACCTCCTAAAAGTGTTGTAATCTGGGTCAAGGGCTGTAATACTGAAGACAGCGAGAGGCCCGGAAGGAGCTCTGTGGCATAGTTGGCAACGACAAGCCCGGAAGGGTCCCTGAGACAAAGCCAGCTGTGAGGGCAGAAAGCTGCTGCTAGGAGAGCAGCAGCTGAGCAAGTTGATATACTGGCTATGAGCTGGGCCTGTTAGCAGTGGAAAAGCCAATGGATGGGAGGCTGAAGGCAGAGAGGCCAGCACGGCTAAGAGGGGACATACACGGCCGAGAGAAGGGCCTGCTTGCACGGCTGAAAGAAAGGCCTGCTTGTATGGCTGAGAAGGGCCTGCTGGCATGGCTGAGAGGCCTGCTAGCATGGCTAAGAGAGCAGCTGAGAGAGCTGTCCTGGTTGGAAGCTGTCCTACACTGAAAAAGGGAGTGATATGCTCTCCACCTTGCGGGAGACTTCCAAACCTCACCTATGTTCTTTCTGATCCTGATCTTGAGTGTTCCTGTTACTTCCAAGTTGATCCTGATCCTGAGTTGTAGCCTGTTACTTCTCTAATAAACCATATAACTGTGAGTATGGTCTGTGAGTTCTGTGTGGTCATTGCAATGAATTATTGAACCCAGCAGAGAAGCAGAGAGTGATGTGGGGTTACAGCTAGTGTCGGAAATGATGAAGAAGTTGGAGAGTGGAGGTATGTCTGATGTCTACCTCATACGGATCAGCTCTGTGCTATCTTGATTCACATCTCTCATGAAATTGATGATTTATTGTGCTAGATTACAACATTACTTTGTCTATTGTTAAGACTGGGAATTAGGCCAGGGGAGGTGAAGTAACTTGCCCATGGCCTCAGCCACAGGTCAGCGATGCACCCAGGTGGTTTGGACTCCAAGCCTCACTCTCTCCATTCCCCCCACCCCCGCCACCAGCTTCCATTTTAGGAAAGTGAATGGAAGCCAACAGGACAGGATGGACTGTGCATGGGGAACACCAGGACCCCTTCCCTTGGTTGAAGATGAAATGTCCACATCGAGCTGGTCTTAGGCCTCCCAACAGGGCGTGAGGGAGGGCAGTGGGTTCAACTGTTTGTGGTTCTCCCTGCACAGGTCAGTTCGAGTGTTGACTGACAGCCCAGTGCCCACAAAGCCATTCTGCTGGGAGGGCCTGTTTGGGGAGCTGAACCAGGGCCAGCCTCCTTAACCTTGGCTGGAAGCCCACAAGAGTGATCATTCAGGAAGCAGGGGGACTTCCAAACCCAAGAAAGGCCTGTGTGCAGGGACTTTAATGGCCCAGGGGAGACCCGGCCTAAGGGTGCTGTGTTGGGGGGGGGGCTGTGATGGCCCAGGGGAGGTATGGCCTGTGTGCACAGGCTGTGATATATGATGGCCCAAGGGAGGCACAGCCTAAGAGTGTTCTGCCACCAAGGACTCCTCTCCAGCCTGTGAGTCTACACTGAGTGGGCACTTGAGCACTCGCTGAATGAATAAACAAACAAATGAGTGCAGCCAGCTGGGACCTCCCTTTCTAAATCCACTTATTCCATACATGGTAAACTGGGTGGCTATCATTGTTTCTGCCCAGAACATGCTCCCATCCCCCACTTTCCTTTGTGGGAAATTCTCTCCCACTTGTAATTGCAACCCCTTGTGTTCCCATAGGAGCCCTGGTGGTGCGGCAGCTAAGAGCTCAGCTGCTGACCAAAAGGTCAGCAGTGCTAATCCACCAGCCACTCCTTGGAAACCCTGTGGGGCAGTTCTACTCTGTCCTGTAGGGTCACTATGAGTCAGAATCAACTCAGTGGCAATGGGCTTGGTTTTGATTGGTGTTCACATAAAGGTGATCACCTAATCCAGAACTGGCCAATCTGAGGACTCCAACCTTCTGGCCACATGATTGGTCTAGGGGTGGGCATGTGATCCAAAGCAGCTAATCAGAGTCCTCCCTGAGTTTTCTACCAGAGCTAACAGGGAAGACTTATTTGGGGGGACCTAGCTGGCAGGAAAATGAACCTGTTGACCACAGCCTGCTTGCCCACTGGATGGAGGATGGGGTGAGGCAGGGCAAGCAAGTCACCTGTCCTGTCCTACGGCCTGGTTCCTGCAGCTCTGCCCTCCATGCTGTGGGCAAGCCAACACCCTTCCCAGCTGGTGGCCCAACACACACCCTTTTACTGAAGCCAGTTCTAGTGGGTTTCTACCACTGTGACTAAAGAGGCAACCTCTCCATAGGCACTCACTGCACATGGGCCAGGCAAGTGCCAGGGGGTCCAAGATGACTCAAATGCCGAGAGACCTCAGCAGGAGAGACGAGACAGGGCACACTAACCCACACAAGACCTGCAGTGACGGCAGCCATACAAAGCTGGGGGAGAGGTATTCCAGCAGAGGGGTGCTGAAGAAAGGCTTCACGGTGGTTGAGGTATTTGCAGTGGTACATGAAGGACTTCTGGGAGAAGGCTTACAGGAAGGATGGGGCCATGGTATCTGTGGAACTGCACTTAACCTGCTTGGGTAGCAGGGTTGGGGCATGAATGTGGGAGATATGTGGACAGGTGATCCCAGGAGGTCTGGAACTCAGGTGGGTAAGTCTGTCTACTCCTGCAGGCACTGAATGTTTCTGGGCACAGGAGTGACTTGAACAGATTGAAGGGATCCAGGAGGGGAAAGGCTGAAGGCAGGGAGCCAGTGATCGGGGGGAGATGAGGGCCTGAATGGGGGCTGTGGCAGAGAGAATGGGGGGAAACAGCTGGATTCTAGAGGCAGTTAGGAAAGAATTGGTGTTTGCAGGAGGGAGGGAAGAATCAAGGCGGCCCCCAGGTTCCTGGGCGGGTCCCTGGGTGAGTGGCGGAGTAATCGCTGAAATCAGGGACAAAGGACACATGGGTTTGGGAAGGATGCAGAGCTCACCTGGAACCTGCTGGATGGCCCAGTGGAGGTGGATCTGTGGGCGCAAATGCCACCAAGTGGACGCTGGGCTGCAGCCCTGAAGTGAGCAGCTGCAGACCCTCCCCCAGCACCCACTCAGACAGTGAGTGCGTACGGAAGGTACATACCAAGGTCGGGGCATTGATGATGGAGAGGTTGTAGCCAAATTGAAATGTCCCTCTGATGCCGGCTGCACAGATGGTCAGGAGCAGGACCCTGCCCTGAACCTGAGAAGAGAGGGGAGGACACTGAGTGACCGATGACAATCTCTACCTCCCTCCCCGGCCTGGAAACTACAGTTCCCAGCATTGCAATTGACTTGAACTAGGCAATGATGTCACCACTTCGCAGATGAGGAAACTCAGTCCCAGAGAAGAGTCACCTAGGTCACAGGGCTGGCAGGCAGCGGCACCCAGACGTCTGCTCTGAGAGTCCACCCTTGAGTCTAGGGCTCCATCTCCAGTCTAGGGCTCCACTCCCTTAGTTTAGGACTCCACCCACTGAGCCTAGGACTCCACCCCCTGAGCCTAGGGCTCCACCCCCTGAGTCCAAAACCAATCCCCACTCCATCCTCAGTGCCCCACCTCCACCATTTTCCTGAGATGGAGAGCAGCTCCGTGGCCAGAGGCAGGGCTGCTGTCTTTCGGGAGGACAATCCCCTGGGCTGGGACCCCAGTTAGTGAAGCCCTCCCCCCTGGCAGCAGGAGAGGCCGTCCTCGAGCAGTTCTCTTCAGCCTCAGCAAGACATTCTCCTACTGAGTGGCTGGGCTCCAGGAGTCTGAGCTGAGCCTCCTCGGCCTGTTCTCAATTGGAGTTGTGGAGAAGCCACATGGACCTACAGGAGTAGGGGCTGGCGGGCATCAAGGAGGCGCCTGCGGAAGTGTTTGGGTCCTGTTGCTTCCTCAACTGGACACAGGGATAGTAATGCCTACTTCCAGGCTGGGATGCAGCTGGAGGCACATGTGTGCCACACACACCTGGTGCAGTACAGGGCAGTTCTTCATCCTAGTGCAGTCTCCTTGGAGACAGGGAAAACTCCTCCAGGTTCCCAGCCATGCTGGGGACTCAGTGCCCTGATGGCCTCTCCCATTCAGTTGTTAATTTTTTTGTGGATTCACAATTCTATTTATATTTTTCTTATATAACTTTTAGTTACAAAATAACACGCTCATTAAACCTGTTTTAATTCATTTATACCAAAAGTTCTCCACTCCCTCAGAGACCTGGAAATTAACTGCTTCCCTCAGATACTTTCCTAACACTCACAAAGTATTAGATTTTACAAAAAAACAAATCACTGAGCTTTTCCCAAGAAACTACACTGCCTTTCTTGTTCTGGTAAATCACCAAGCAGACTTAAAGTTCTTCAAATCAGTTTATTATTATTTGTTTTAATACTTAAATATAAATTTCATGGCAGAGGATGCTTGGCTAAAGGCTTTCTGAGGAATTTCTAGAGCCTGCTGGGCCAGGAACTGTGCCGGGGATGCAGATACAACCAGGAGAAGACAGAAGTGGCCAGTCCTCACCATCAGGGGACATACTGTCCTGAGGGGGGACAGGCATCCAGAGGGCAGGACCTTACCAAAGGTCTTGCCACAGGACGGCAGATAGAGGCCCCACAGGCCGGCCAGTGTTCCCATAGGCCAAAGCAACTTCCTTCTAAGCCGGAAGCCCTAGGAGGAAGCCAAGTGAGAACCCAGGAGTCTGGCCCCACCCACCCCGTTTCAGCTCCCTGTGCGGCTACATGGAGGTAAGAACTCCATTCTGATAGTGGATCCTCCAGAAGGAGTGGCATGGTGTATGATGACAGGTGAGCACATGAGCTGACACATCTCCAAGTCAGCAGGGAATGATGTAATTCAATGAGATCATGCAGGCAAACTGCCTAGTACTGTGCCTGGTCATGGTAATGATGATGATGATTAATTCAGTGAACAAATGTTTACTGCCTCTCCACTATGGGCAATAAACGTACTGTGTGCTAGGCATAGAGCATTGAACAGAAAAGACAAAATCCAGGACCTCACCGGAAAAGATAGGCAATAAAACGAACAAGCAAAATATATACTATGTTAGCTGTTGCTATGGGGAGACATAAAGCAGGAAGTGTGACAGGGAGTGTTTGGAGACAGTGGTGCTATTTTAAATACAGGGGTAAGGGAAGACGCCCTGAAAAGTGATGTTTGCACAAAGACTTGAAGGTGAGGTAAAGCGCCAGGCAGATATCTGAGGGAAATCAGTCCAGGTGTCAGATGTGGGGGTGGGGGGGACCACAGATGGACAATGAGGGCTTTCTCTTTCTATTCCGGCAGTCCTCATTCCCTCTGTCAAGTTGGACACCAGGTGGAAGCTCAAAGGAGGCATGGAGATGAGGGTTGAGGAGAGAGGAGAGGGCGGGGAAACAGTCAAAGGAGGCGGCAGCCGGCCAGGATTGCAGTGCTGGGGTGTGTCTGGCTGCGGGAGGACCCGGGGGCGATGCAGGCAGCGCGTGGGATGCTCGTCTGGGCTGCCGCCCGTCCGCAGACGTGTGACCCCGTGTGACCTCTTGTAATCTGGTCCTGGCCCACGGGCCAGGCCTCGGCGTGCACACCTGCTTGTGCTCATCTGAGCCCAACACCTAACTCCACTACATACGAGCACACGGTATTTGTGTACGTGTGACGCCTTCGCTATGCCTTCCCGGGCTTCCACGCGGGACAGCAACCCCGCATCTGAAACACTTGGGTCAGGTGGGGTTCGCAATTCAACCCTTTCCAGGTCACAGGCGGAAAGGAGTGCAAAGACATTGCAGCAGCATTCAGGGCAGAGGGCCGGGCGGGGGTCGCGAGGCCCCGCGGCGCTGCGGCCCTGCCTGGCCACCCGCTTCAGGAGCTGCGAGACAAAGCCACCACACTCCGCGATCCCGCAGTAGCCCAACGGAGGGGCGCATGCGCGCGGAGGGCAGGGCGGTGCGGTAATTCCGAGATCCGAAGGGAGAGGGAGAAACCAGCGCACGCGCGTTGGACGTTTGAGAAGAGCAAACCAATTAAAGGGCGGAAGTGCCGCCCCAGCGCAGTGGTTGCTGAGGGCGCTGTAGGGAGTTGAAGGCTAGCGTAAAGCTTACCCAAGCTGGGCGCACGGCCGATACACTCACGCAGGCGCAGTAACGCACAGAGAGAGCGACTGAAGCGCACGTGGAGGCGTACAGGGTGGTAAAGAGGGCGTGGGGAGAGTGGGGGAGCCGCGTGTGGGTCATCTTGGTCGGTGGTCGTGAGGGCGGGTCCTGCGCATCCTGCATTTCACTCCTTCTGCGGCTCGCAGGCTGAAACGCCACTCACTCTTCACCGGCCGTGCAGACCGGAAGGGGCTCTGGTCTGAGGTCATCCCGGCCAGTCCCCTGCAGCAGCCCCCACAGGCCCCAGCGGGCGGCACGGACGCCCCTTCTCGACCCTGCGTCCACTGCTCCCGCAGCCGCCTCCAGAAGGAATCCCTGCGGCTGCCTGCCTAGCCCCCCAGGCATCCCGCCAACCCCCCCTACGCCTTTCGTCCTCTAACTCTGATCCAGCGCCCTACCCTTCCCCCCCATTCCACACAGCTCCCCATACGGTGCCTCTGGGCCCGGAAATTTCTTCCCCACTCTCACCCCCGTCCCAGGGGTCCCCACTCTTTCCCCAGAGGTGGGGCCGGACCAGCAGGGACCGAAAGGCGGACCCACCAGTCATTGAAGCGCCGTCATCTGTCCGTTCTGCGCAGAGCCGGTCTCCGGTTGCTGCCAGGGGAATCTATGGAGGTGAGGAACCACAGGGTCCACTGAGCCGGATTAATCTTTATTTCTCAGGGCTCCTCAGGCTCTGCATGGAATCCAGGAGTCGGACAAAGGCCAAAATGAAACCAACTTGGCCAGAAATGCTGTGGTCATAGAAACACAGCTGAGAGTGACCTTAGTAAGTCATAGGAGCAAACTGATAGGACACACACCCGAATGGGTCCTGTAGTACATCGATTGCTCCTGCTTGGCTTTTGTTTGATTTTTGCTTGTCTGAACTTTCCATAGGAGACCTGGTGGCGCAGTAGCTAAAGCGCTGGGCTGCTAACCAAAAGTTCGGCTGCTCAAATCTAGTTAGTTGTTCCAGCCTGAGAAGATGTGGCTGTCTGCTTCCATAAAAATTTACAGCCTTGGAAACCCTATGGGGCAGTTCTACTCTGTGCTGCAGGGTCACTATGAGTGGGAATCAACTGGACAGTAGTGGGTTTTGGGGGTTATGAAACTTTCCATAATTTCTAAAAACACTGTGCATTTTTTAAAATATTTATTTTTGGTGAAAGTATACATAGCAGATCATACTCTCATTCAACAATTTCTACATGTACAGTTCAGTGACATTGGTTACATTCTCACTATCTCTCCCCCATATTGTTTCATCATCATTGATTTTGACTCACTGCCTCATAAACTACTGGTCTGTGCTTTACGGTTACTGTTGTCAGTTTAATCTGATATAAATAATTCTTTAAAAGAGTGCAATGCTCAAGGCAAACTGCTAAACTGTTTAGTTTGAAGATGCCTTCAGATGTAGTTTTCAGTTCAAGGTTCAAAATTTTTCTCAGGGCAAAAGATTTAGGGGTTCCTCCAGTCTCAGTGGGTCTAGTAAGTCTGGATTCTATAAAAAATTGTAAGTTCTGTTCCACATTTCCCCCCTTTTGATCAGGACTCATCTGTTGAGTCCTTGATCAAAATGTTCAGTAATGATAGCCTGGGACCATCCAGTTCTGATCTCAGACAAAGGAGGCAGTAGTTCATGAAACACCATGCATGTTTAAAGAAAAATACAAAATATTAGCAGTTGTCATGAATGGGTATTTGATTGCATTTTTTTTTTTGGCATTTATTGAGATAATTATTTGGTTTTCCTCTAATCTGTTTATGAGATCAGTTAAATCAGATTTTTCTAATGGTTAAATCATCCACGAATTCTTGGAGTAAACTCAGCTTGCTCATAATGTTGTTATTGTTGCTGTTAGCACAGTGTTGGTTTCAACCGCTAATATTTAAATAGGTTTATTTTTTTAAAAACAATCATTGCTTCCCACCCCCCCGAAAAATGCAGTGTTTTCTGGAAATTACAGAAAATTCAGACAAGGAAAAATTAAACACAAACGAAACATGAGCAGTAGGTATACTCGAGGACCCATTCTGGTCTGTGTTCAGATGACTTCTTCAGGACATTTTCAGCTCCAGGTTTCTGTGACCAAAGAAATGGGGCAGGGATGACGTCTTCACACTGCTTCTATTCAACCTTGTTCTGATGAGTCTAGTCAGCATAGTAAAAGCTGAAAAGGAACTATATGGCATAAAAGTCGGAAAGGAAAGAAAACTGTCATTCCAGACAATATGATTGTCTAATAGAAAACCAAAAGAATTTATAAGCAACCCATTAGAATTCATAAGACTAGACTAAGGTTGCTGGATAGAAAATCAATATACAAGATCAAAACGTAGTTTGAAAAGGATAACACAATAGAACAAAAAAGAAAGTACTTACCATTTTAACAACATATGCATGATCTTTATAAGGAAAATTATAAAACTGTATTGGAAAACTTAAAGGAAGACCTAAATCAAAGGACATATATTCATAGATTAGAAGTGTCAACATAATAAAGATACTAGTTCAGTCCACATTAATACATAGATTCAGTAGGATGACAAATCCCCAGTGGGTTGTTTTTGTGGAATGTAGCAAGCTGATTCTAAAATGTATATCAAAGACCAAGGACAAAGAATAGCCAAGATAATTCTGAAGAAGGGGCTGGTCCTGACAGATATTAAGGCTTATTTAAAACTGTAGTAATTAAGACAGTGTGGTATTGGCCCCAAACCAAAAAAACACCCCATTGCTGTCAAGTCAATTCCAACTCACAGTGACCCTATTGGACAGGGTAGAACTGTCCCGTAGGGTTTCCAAGGCTGTAAATCTTTACGGAAGCAGGAAGCCACATCTTTCTCCTGCAGAGTGACTGGTGAGTTTGAACTGCCAACCTTTCGGTTGGCAGCTGAGCACTTTAACCACTGTGCCACCAGAGCTCCAGGATATACAAAAAGACCAGTGAAACCAACAAAACCATGAAACAGACCTGCCCATATACAGAAACTTGACACATGGCAGAGAGATACGGAAGATCAGTGTGGAAACATGGACTAATAAATGGTGTTGGGACAAATGATTATCTATGTGGGGAAAAAATAAAATTGAATCCCTACTTCACCCCCAAACACAAAAATCACTCTGCGTGCATACAGACCTATGCAAAAAGCAAACTGTAAATGTTTTAGGAAAAAACAATGTTTTTATAACCTCTGGATAAATAAGGATTTCCTAAACAAAATAACAAAAGCACAAACCACACGGGTTTCTTATGAGGATTTAACCTCATTAAAACTGTGTAAGAAGACACCATAAAAAGGTGAAACTAAAAACTACTGACTAGGAGAAGGTAGCTATAAACTTACGACCAACACAGGGCTAGTATTCAGAATAAAGAATTTCTACCTATCAATAAGGAGAAAAAATGGGCAAAGGCTATGAGGAGGGAATTTCCTTTTCAGAGGAAATTGAAAGTGGCCAAAAAGTGAATGAAAAGATGCTCACTTGCATTACCTATCAGGAAAAGCAAACTCAGTCCACAACAGCATGTTGTTTCACAGTCCACAGACTGCTGACAGCTTAATTTTGACGATGCCAAGTGTTGGTGGCGATCAGTTGGACTGCTCAAGTGCTGCTGCTGAAAATATAAATGGTGCAACAACTCTGGAGAACAATTTGGGCACATCTACTGAAGTTAAAGGAGTCCTAGGTGGCACAAACAGCTAAACGCTGGACTACTAACCACAAAGATTGGCTGTTTGAACACCCCCACCCCCTGGCACCTCAGAAGAGAGGCCTGACAATCTGCTTCTGAAAGATCACAGCCTTGAAAACTCCATAGAGCAGTTCTACTCTGCACACATGGGGTTGCCATGAGTCGGAATTGACTCGAGGTATGGATTTGTATTTTTTTAGTCAAGTCGAAGTTGCACATACTCCTAGCGATTCCAACAGTTCCACTCCTGGGTTTGCCTTGGAGAAACTCTTAATCCCATGCTCAAGAACTTCGGTTCACAAATGCAGCATTGTTTGTAATATGAGAAAACTGAAAATGGCCCAAATGTTAATCATGAGGAAAATGGAGAAATAAATGTGAAAAGCACTGTACTAGAGGAACAGTGTCTGCGTGGATGAATCAGTGCTGCCTGGGTAAAACTGCAGAAAGATGTGTACACTATAGTGCCTTTATATTCAGTTTGGAAATACAAAACCACACTTTATGTAGGAATACATGCATATGCAGTAAAAGCTTCCGGGTGTACAAGGGGGTGATTAAGTACCAAAGTCAGAACTGGGTTTAACATTCTGAGTCTTAGACTGCCAGTCTGGACCCCACCGTTGATCACTGCTATGATAAAATCTAGTTGCCCCTTGTTCTCCCTGAATGCCACCTGGATGCCCTGACCCCGCCTCCCATCCTCTGTGGAGTCAGGGCCTCTATGTGTCGGTTCCCCACCCATTAACAAGCCAGGAAGCTTGAGGTTTCCCTTTGGCAAACATTAACTGGGAGTTGAACCTTGAAAATGTGAAAGTTGCGGTTGTATTTGTGGCAGCCCGGTGCTCATATACGCCGTTTGGCGCCAGGTGGGAATTTTCAATCAACACCCCAGCATGGGGGCAGGGGGTTCAGCTTCTCGTACAGGGTCCGAGAGACTCAGAGAGGTCGAGTGCGTACCCGCGTCCCTTCTTCCGCACCACCCTGCCGCCCTGCTGCGGCTGGTCTTTCTTCGCCTGCCCAGCCTGCCGTGGTCCGCTGCGGCCTGGCCGACGCCAGGGCAAGGGCCCAGCGACCCTGGGACCTGCCGGCCTCTCGCGGCAGCCCCGCCAAACTGGGCAGGAAGTGTTGGAGGCGCAAGTTGAACACTCCCTCACTCCTCTGGCCCTCGGCTTCCCGCGTTTGAGTCTCACCTAGTCTTTCCAGGTGATTAGGCGGGGAGGGGTAGCCTGCGCACGGCCACCAGCTGCCCAGGTACGGCGTGGCCTACGACCAGTCGCGGGTAGCGATCCTCTCCCCCGCCTCACAGGACCCCACCCTCCATCCTCCTTCCTACACCCTGGTCTCTTGCTCTGCTGATGGGAAACTGGGGCCCAGACCGGGCAGGGTCGGCCCCCGGCACACAGCAGAAAGCAGGAAAGCTGCACACCCTAAAAACCACCAATACGGCGAGGCGGTTGGGCGATATGGACTCTCACCCACCGGGCAGCGGCCCGCCGCCTCCGACCTGGCGCGCCCCAGAAACGCCCACGCCCGTGACCAGGCCTGGGGACCAGGCCTCGCGCACGATGGACATTCCAGGGATTCGGCCTCTTGACCAAGACTTTCCAGCCCTCGGCCCCTCTTTCAGCCCTCTTCCGGTCCCCCATTCAGCACTCCTTGGGCTTCCCATTCAGCCCCCGGTCCCGGCTGCCCATTCTGCCTTGCAGGCCTTCCCCCACTGCCTGGACGCCGCTGAGACCCGCTTCGGCCGCGTGGGGGGCTACAGAGCCCGGCCGCAGGGTCCCGAGGCCCGTTCTTTCCAGAAGGCTCCTTGTGGTAGTGAGACAAAGGGGCCGGTCCGGGGCCCCCACGTGGGGCGGTCCTTTCTCGGGG